GGCGTCCTCGTGCATGCGCACGCTGCACGCATGCATACTAGCATCTGCGCGATGCTCCAGCTGCTCCTGGACAATCGCGCAGGCACTGTATGTGTCCTGCGCATGCGTGGAAGCGCAGAACTCGTCAAAACCGGGTAAGGACCGCGGGCGGGCGGGCGCGCCCTTCGCCGTTCCTGGAAGTTACTTACTTCCGGGTTTGGCGACCAACCGGTTCTCAGGGACCGCTGCGAACCGGTTGAAACCCACCCCTGGCCAGAGATGTCCGTTTTGTTAACAACTGAGAATCACTCAGATAAGCCAGAACACCCAGAGAAGCAGGGATTAATACTAGACAAACAATCAAATAGAAAACAAGATCCTAATCAAGAACTACCATGGAGAGAAATAATGAAGCAACAGACAGAAAACACTATCCTAATCAAGTAATTATCAACACTCCACCAACCCTTCTAATGCAAGCTGTTGTATATAAACATGGAGCAAACCCCACACTCCCTAGCACGGATGTGGTAACTTAGTCAGGTAATGAAATGTCTGCAAATGTACAACCCAGCTCAGAGAGCGTCAAAGACTTCGCGGGAGTTATTCAACTTTTGCAAAAAAAACTTGACCTTGAAGGTGAATAACTTCTGGTAGTTGACAGAATGGACATCTCTCTCCTGGGAAATTGTGATTCTCCATCTAATCCCCAACGGGAAGGATAGGAAAAAGAGGAAAGTCAGAATTAAACCCCATTGTCCTGCCTATCCTGTTAGATTCCCTTGATTTTTTTTTGTTTAAAGTGGCTAGTCCTTATGGCTCAAGAGAAGATGGGGGGAAAAAGGTTGCTCTCCCATCCAAATGCCAGCCCCGTTGCTCAGGTTCTGTGCCTTTACTTTCTCTCGCCAGATGTTGATGAATGTGCCATCAATCGCCTGTTGTGTGACAACGGACTGTGTCGCAACACGCCTGGGAGCTACAGCTGCAGCTGCCCGAAAGGGTTTGTCTTCCAGACCGAGACAGACACATGTGAAGGTAACCACCTTGGAACCCCAAATATCCAGGTGGAAGTCTTGAAACCATGTCAGTCAAGGCACATGGTTGAATGTGGTAGATCCCAAATAGTTGGTGGCCACGAAGCAGGAAATTGGAACAGATCCTCAGAAACAATCCAGCTTTTAATTTCTTGTTGACAGACTTGTGAACACTAGGCCCTGTCTAACAAAATAAAATTCAGTGATAAGTAAGGTTCTACATTTAGGCAAGGAAAACGAAATGCACAGGTACAGCATAGGTGGTACCGTGCTCAATAGTAGTAACTGTGAGAGGGATCTTGGAGTCCGAGTGGACAACCGTTTAAATAGGAGCCAGCCGTGTGCAGC